CAGCTTTCCTAGGTTCACCACTCCTATCTGCAATTGTTCCCAACTCTCGAGAGCGTCTTATGGTTGAATGCAATACCTGCCTTGTTTCGCTAGTTCGTCTGTAGATGCACCGTGCCAAAAGTGTTTGTAAATGCAAAGCGACGCTTAATTCATGGACTAGTTACATTTATATAATGTTAAAAATCTACCCAAAGTTTAGTATCATCAGGAAGGTAATAACGTAAGCTACTTTGTGAAATAGAAGAAATTCAATGAATTGTTATGAACATAGAACAAATTTGCAATGAACGTCAGCGCGCGCTGTAATCATAATTTTGGCCCACCCTGTAGAATGTCGAATGAAAAAATCGGCTATTTTCTGGTCGAAACTCTCATGCTTCGCAAGGCTCCTTACAGGAATGAACTCATGTAAATATTGTGAAATAAAGTGAAATCTTGATGGTGTAATGGCCAGGCATGTTCCTCTGATAAAATACTTTTGAGTTTGAGCCACCCACCTCCTCCCCCGACAACCCAGCACCTTTGTGAACAAGTTCAATCCGACGACTGCTTTCCTTTCGGTTGTCTATTCTTGGGGATAACCTGAAAATGGTGAGCGAATGAGTTTTGCTCTCGGTGCTCCCTGTTTTCTTCACCACTCTCCACATTAAAGCTTTTATCGAACGACGATGGGAGTGGAAAAGATGGGGAGTGGGAAGGGGATAATTGAGAGATGATGGAAAAGTCCCAAATTCCCTTTACTGACAGAAGATAACATCGTCAAAGGTATAGAGTGAATAGTGGCTATTTGAAGCATGCTTCCATTTAATGTGGAGTAGAAACGCAGTTCCCAGAGGAAGGATGTAGATACTGTACAGCGCTTATCAGATGGACCACATGGATCCAAGCCCAGCTAAATCAGAGGAGATTTAGACTTTCAGTTTTCAGTTTTCAGTTCAGACTAAGAATCAGTGAAAGATCAAGCTTCCGTCGATAATTGGTCCCGTGGGTGGAATGCGCCTACGCCATCGACTTCACTTCACAATCGTAGTAACGTTGGATCGCTATGTGGTTATACAATGGCTTTCGGTGTTCAGCCGTTATACAAGTCACTGTTTTGATCCCCCTAGACGGGTTTGGTACCGATTTGCCGGTGTGGGATAGAAGGCCTGGTTGGCCTCCGCTGATTATGATCCGGGATTCGATCCCTGGGACATGCGCAGGTGAGAGGGCGCCACTTCTTACTTCAATCCGGCCCTTCGAATAATGATCACTTGCTAATAGTAAAAATAGAATAAAATAAAATAAAATCAGCTGTATAACTGCGAAATTCAAGGAACATATTAAAATGCATAGCTTTTCATGGTTAACCAAAGATCCCGTCGATCTTTGACTATCGGAGCACAGCCTCATGCACGTGAGTTCATTTTCTGCAACTGCAAACTTTGTAGACTCAATAAATTTGAAATATTCATTTTGGAACAATACATTAGAATTGCAAATTTTGAAAATATTCTGATTTAACACTACTTTTGCTGTTGTTGATGATTTTTGAAAACAAGGAAGTGGCATGGCGGAGGCTCAGTACAGAAACAAATCATATATTATCAACAGTCTCCCTGGAATTTGAATGAACCTTCGTTATATGTGATCTTTGTACGATTTTAGCGGTATGTACTGGTAATCCGAGAGGATTTAGATATGCAACAACATGGAAGTACCCCAATGTTCATTGTTCAAGAGATTAGTGTCATTCAGCGATCGAATTCAACATCGAAAACTAACGGGGTCGCTTTCCATTTGCTTTTCAAACCAGCGTTTGGCTAGAAACCATTGATAATTATTACTCATTATTACCTTGTTTATCAATACTTATTACCGTTACGTATCAATAAAAATGAAAGGGATTGACTTTCACTCATAAAAAAGAGAGCGGACCAGAGGGATCAATGAGCGAGGACGTGAGGGAGCATGTATGCTTCAGGATGGTGCATTTGACTGCAGAGGGACTTCTCAAGATGAGCCGATCACAAGTTTCTGTGGTTCCCCGCAAGCTTAGCATGGCTACAACTTCAAAAAGGAGACCTCGCTCGAAACGCCTCTATTTTAGACTTTTCGAATTGAAAGTTTATATTTGGAGCCCAAGACTCCATAAGAGACTACACTGGCAATCGCCTCCATCTCTGGCTTCCAGAAGCAGTCGCGTAGGGGTTTACAATGTCCGAAAATGGAAACTCACCCTGTTTGTTCTGTTGAATAAATATCGCTCACATGATACTCGAGATGATCAGCTAAACGAATGAACACCTCAACTCACGTGATATTCAGAAAAACTCTGACGATTGGACTTTATTCAGCTGCTAACCGGAGATCATCGGACCACATCGACTTCTTTGTCAAGCCTTACAGTACCTTATGATTCAGGATAAATAATGTTAACAGTAGGTTCATTAGGATATTTGCGAGGAGCAGCGGATGATCTTTGCTCGATTCATCCGAAGTGCGCCATGTGTTCTCTTCCCGCCGTACTGCTTGATTCCATTGGGCTTCATTAGAAACATACTTGTTAATTCATACTTGTTTATCAGTCCTTGATTTCGCCTATTATGCTGATGATTAAAAGAAATAAAGGTTTTGGCGCCAATCAATCCCGTCTGAGGGATGCACCCCGCATTCGACTCCCATCCGAAATCGAAGTGGTGTAATGAATGCGTATGTGGCCTATACAATGGCTGTGGCCATCCGATGTACGAGTCAGCGCTTTCGTTCTCCTAGACGAGTCTGGTACCAATTAATCGACCCCTGCAGGGATGGAAGGCCTAGATGGCGTAGGCGTACATAGATCCAGTAGGGATTCGAACACGTGACCATGCGTGTGTGAAGTGCGCTCCTTGCCACTACACTACATACGCCTTAATTCAGTTATATATTAAAATACTTCCGCAACTTGTTTTACATCTGAGCCTGCTAAACCCGTCCAAACTCTTTGTCTGCCCATTAAAAAGAAAAGCACGGATCGCTTTTCAGGTCAAGGCGAAATACATCGAAATTAGATCGAAAGCAAACACAACGTCAAGGTTGTTGAACTGGTAAAAACCTCCGAACGGCCACGCTTCTTTAGTGAACAGGGAATGGAGAAATGGCAGAAGGTGCATGCCCGACAAAAGAATCAAAGATCGGCCTCGCAGTTTCCCTATCTTTCTTCCCTGACATTTACCCGCAACGTTCTAAGCGAGGCTTTCAAGGACGCGGATGCAAATTCACATTATAATCTATATTATGGAGAAATCAACAAGATCGATATCGGTCAGCCATTAGACCTAGCACAACCCTATTTTTGTGATGTAAAACAAGGGTGCCAGTTGACCTTGGATCACCTCTATCTTCCCTTTCCGTCACTATTCATTGTGTCTGCGGTCATTCAGAGTTCACTGCTGTAGAGTTCAATGCATCAGACTATCTCGAAAAGATCAAAAATTATCCGAAAATCAACCATAATTAAGAATTTTTCTTCAAATCAAGTTTTTCTGCTTATTTGGAATGAGCCACGTCTTCGACATTTCAATGAAAAGTCGAAAAGTTCGGACCGGCGTTGTCCCTTCACGAAACCTGACCCAATCACTATTGTTGAACGGCTGACTAGAAGAGGTTAAGACGTAGTGTTGACATGTTGTAGGATGAAGGATATTTTTTACGAAATTCGTCTAAAACATCGTTACGGCTCAGAGAAGAGGGTGAGGGAGGGATCAGGACACTGGGGGGCTTACATTGCCCAAATGCACGGAGCAGTCATAAGTTATTCAAACAGGTTATTCGAAAGTACTGAAATTTTTCAATACGAGGACATCTAAAGATCAAGTTCTGTTGATACCAGGGAGGGAATAGTTTATAATTCTATAGAATAAACAAGATTTCAAAAACAGAAATTAAATCCAGCAAAAGGCAGGAACTGGAAAGTGATTGAGCAAAGAACAAACTGATTTACCTAATCATCTCAGGTAAAAAAGATGAAAAGCCTTGAACTAAATCCAACGGGGCTTTTTCTCTGCTATATGTTATTTAGTTCATAATGCTTTGACAAAGGATCGGGATATCAAAACCGCTCATTGCAGTATAGATTAGTGATGGTTCAAGTGAAATTCAGAAACGGCGATTTGGAGTGGGCCATATTGCTTACTTGACGACGTCTTTAAAGTTATCTCTTGTACTGAAAAATAATCTTAAAGACCTCG